TGATTTAGGTGAACCCTTTCTTACGCGGTACTCTCTACAGCAGACTGATATTTAGGTTTTTTTTTTCTTAAGCCATGTCACTGACAGTACTTTGTCTCACTCACAATGTAGATCAAATCCAATGACTTGTCTACGGTGACATGTGGCTATAATTTCTGATATTTTTGTGAGTTTAAGATATAGTAAAAACAATACAAGAGCAGAGCTAAGAGGCTAATTTTAGTTGGTAAAAACTCTAAATATATTAGTCTAATTTTAGTCATAGAATAGTACATAAAAAGTAATGAGAGAGTGTCTTTTTCCATTGGTCAAGATGTTTCCTCCTTTTAAACTAATTCTATCAGCCAATCAGAAATTGGTATCAAGGTTTAAGCAAAGCAACATTTCACTCTCTGACCACTTTCACTTGTCCAATGCCCAGATTTACTTCCTTGATAGCTGATGCAGCCTAAGCTTCTCCCACAATGCAATGCTGCAGTGTTGTCCCTGCCGATCTAGGTAAAGAAGTGAATCACCACCCATGTGTGTATCTGTAGTGCAAATTGATGACAGTTTTTTAAGACCGACTTGTTGTCAACATGTTCATATGGCATATTTTTTCTAATGCTAGAGGATATATCACAAGAAAAGTAAGTGTGAAATTGCATTTCTGGCAGACCCTAACGGCAGGTTTAGACACAGTTGAATTTCCAAGTCACAACTGCAAGCTCTGCTCCTGGAGCCTCACTCTGCTGGCCAGACTTGGAGAAGTAGAGAAGACAATCATGGAACAAGTATGTGCAGTAGCAGATTGCAATGCTTGTAAGAAAGCTAATCATGATATTAGCTTACACCATGCCCCCAAAGACATTACCTGCCACTTCTGCTACACTGGTAATGCTAAGCTACAAGCTAGCACAAAGAGGAGTGTACCAGCAGTACTGTCTCTGCCTACGACTCAGAGGCAAATTGCTAATGAGCTACTGGAGCTCTGCAGAAGAAAAGCCCTTGAATATGACACAGGTAACATGATTTTGTCTAAGAACTTCATAATCACAATTTAAAGACCACTGAGAACACTTTGAATAACAATAAAAAATAATAATCGGAGTGGCACTTAAACTGTGCCTGTGTTGACATGCAAGCTGGAAAAACTTTCAGTTCACCCCACTTAACTTTGGTGATTTAGAGTCCATCAAAACTGTTGAAGGTCTTAAGAGATATATTTTCTAACATGTCCAAAGAGCAGGAAAAATTGAGGTTTTGGCAGGGAGCTATTGAGTTACCACGGGTAAAAAGCAGAAAACATGAAATATTTAACTTACATCAACCTGGTGGCTGGCTATGTTTGTCACTTACATGCATGAGGGAAAAAAAAACCCATCACCAACAAATAAAGGAGATGCATGGAGGCAGCAAGGATTTGTATCCGCAGCACGCATGTTGCAGGAGAGTGACAAAATGAACACCGCATCCCTCAACCATTTCAGCCTGTTACAGCAATGTATTTCTCCTGTTTTGACTGACAGACTCGACTCACAGTTGAGGGAATCTCAAACAGTCCACAACTAACATTTTATTCTTGTCTCATCCTGTTAACACCTCAGCGATCACGTACAGATATTACACACCAGCTGAAAATGTATAAATGTCATGAAGGTATTAGTGTCATCAAACAGAAGTATTCATGTGGTAAAATGTGCTGAAAAGATAAGCGGTGGTTTTATTTTATTATTATTAAATCAGAAACACTGTCAGGAGCTTTGCAGTACCTCTGAGGTTTACAATCTCCTCACACCTCCTCCTTCTCCTCCTCCTTCTCCTGACAACAGCAGAGCACTTAGCTGCTGCCCTCAAATCCACATGGGAGTTATTGCTCTCACTTTACCCCCTCTTCCTTGTCTTCCACTCCCCCCACCCCCAATCCTTCTACGCTTCTTCCTCCTTTCCTTCTTGCACCTCTCCCCACTTCCTCTTCCTCTCGCTCTTCCTCTTCACCATCACTGCTCAGTATTCCTGTAGTGAGGTCTTCAGTCTGTTTTGGAGTTCATTTTTACGGTTCAAAAAAAATCAGCTTTGTATTGACTGTTAATATGGATTTGATCCGTCGTCAATAAGCTTTAAACTCATCCTCTGAAATCCTGTACATGAACAGAAATAATTTTCATCTCTTACTACTAAAGGTTAATTAAAATCATGCTCTATTAATCTGGTGCTTATGTTCAGACAACTGCTTTTTAAAGCAATCTACAGGCGTGTAATCACAACACTCACATCATCAGCCAATCAGCTGTTAGGGATTTATCGGCTAACGCTCATAAATCTGCAGAGCTGTTAGTGTATATATGAGTATGAGTGTGTGTGTGTGAGAAAGAGAGTGTGAGAGTGTTTCAGTGTAGACATTAAATCACAGCTATGAATGAGTGAACATGAAACAGTCTCAGTGCATATCATTTATTTAAAGGAAAACACCTCATAGGTTTGAAGATTATTCTCCCACATCCAAGTTTGATGAGATATGAGATCAGTGAGTTTGAAACATTTAAAACAATGTTTAAAAACCAAGCGAACATTTCCTGATGGGTCTGATATGATGGACTTTTTATTTTCAAGTCTTAGCACTGATGTTAGATTTCTGTCCTGATCTCTTCTGTGAAACTTGCTGGATGTTTTTCCTCTGTAATGAGATGAATGGTCAGTGTTTCGGATTTTGAATCAGTCTGAAACAAGCTTAAAGCTGCAGCTCTGTCTGAATAATAAACCAGATCGATTAGTTTCTGCTTGTGCTGAATTTAATCATTCAGATGAATGTGTTGTAGTTTTATAACTGTCCTCCTGACAAACACAATATTAGATATTTGTACCTGACCCTGCAGGTGTTATAGAGTTGTGCAGTCTGGCTGATTGTTTCTTAGACAAATTTTACAGTTTACAATCCTCAAAATTATTTGAGTATTTACACTTCTAATGGAATACCTGTGCACAGCCTTTCTCCTCTGCAGTCCACAGTGGAAGACTGACTAACACAACCACTTTGTTTTACACACTATGGCTGTGTCCGAAATGAATCACTCAACCCCTAACCCCTAACCCCTATATGGGGTGTCACTATATAGCTGACTATGTAGTGAGCTCAATCACTGGAGGTTTCGGACACTACATGGTAAGATGCAATGCATGACGGGATGCTCACCACCGTTGAGTGACCATCGGGTGGTCACTACAATTTTGAAATTTTGAGTCACCTGTATAGGCCATTGGAATTGATCACTCAGGTATCAGACACCCTTTAAAATGGCTCTAACCCCCATTTAGTCGCCTATATAGGGGTTAGGGATCCATTTCAGACACAGCCCACACTTCCACTTCTGAGACATTTTTAACACAGCTCTTTATGAACAACTCAGCACTTGGTAGTTTGGCAGTTATGGTAATGGTGATGGTGACAATAATGATAATGATGAAAGTGTTGTTGTGACCTCATGTGGGTGATAATCCATTTTGGTTTATTGGAAGATGATGATCATACAAAAAACAAACAAAAAAGTGGTAACTGCCCTTAGCACTGAATGGTAGCACGACATCCATTTTCACTTGTTGCTGTTTATGACATTCACTCGTGTTGTTGCTTCCATCTGGATCTGTGATTGTGTTGTACTTACTTCTAAATATACCTAGCTTTTGACAAAAGTCTCTGCTAAAGACACAAACATTGTAGAAGTTTTTATAATAATGATTAAAAAAAAACAAAAACAAATGATTATATCTGATTAGTTGGTGTGTCAGCCCTTTATGACCCCCTGTATCATGATGCTGAGGGTCAGATGGCTGAGCTAGTAAAACCTCCAAGGAGCACAGGTGTGTGGGTTCACTCCCTTTAAACCTGATTACAGTGTTTTTCTCATGTTTACCAGAAATACTAATAAAAACACAAGAGAATTACAAACTTCGGATAACTTGACACCAAGGTAGATACCATTTTAATTAAGTTATTTCCAGAAAAATCACCCTGACCACAGTCTACATGTAATAAAATATTTAAAGTACATCCCAAATACATGATGTAGGATGCTAAAGACAAAACGAACCTGGTTCTGTACACACATGATTGTGTATATATACACACAGTATTATCAGATACGTATAGGGTTCATCCAAAGTGAATGGACCCAGGGAAGAGGATGACATCCACTACAGCTCAGGCCTGACTTCCTGAATTAAATGACTCCTCTACAGTCCAGATCATTATTTACCCAGTTTCCTGACAAAACATCTGAGTACACAGAGCATGAACACAGAGATGGCACAGATGAAGAACGACTCTCAGACTGTAAGTGATCCATATGTGTTGTGCTGGATGATATCATGAGTTTAGTTCAAGACAGACACCACTGTGTTTCCAATCGCTTGTTGCAGTTTGTTTTTAAGTCCCGGTTCCTCCCAAGAACCATGAGGGTTTAAATATTCCAAGGTTATTCTTATGAACCTTGTTTAATTTTGTGTAAAGGTAAAATCTGTATCTGCTGAGATTGATTTGGAAGGCTGATCAATAGTGTGACATCATAAATGTGGGCGGGGCGAGCTGTGAACAGGTAGTTGCACTCATGAGGTCAGAAAGGTTAAGCAAAGTTGAATCAATTTCAAGATTTCATGCATGTTGCAGTTGGGCTGACAGTTGTTGGGTTGTTTTTAATCAGCGGCGACAGAAAATGATTCAGCTGATCCCTTTGCTGATGAAGACTCTTGCTTGTTTAATGCTCTTCATCTTCTTCATATGTGCAGTGCAGATCTCTGGTTAAACGCACATACACTCAGAGCTCATCCTCCTGTGAAAGTGCAGATTTCTACAGAGGAAAAAAAGATTCTTCCACTCTCTGTGTGCTTCAGGTTTTCAAGAAAGGTTTCAATGAATATAGATAGATAGATAGATAGATAGATAGATAGATAGATAGATAGATAGATATTTTAAAAAAATACATTCAAATTGTAACTGGACTGAATTAAAAACTAAATCGTGATACCTAACAGAGAGCTTGACCCTTGGGTACACCGTGCTGACTCTCCGCTAGGCTGCGCTGTGCTCGCGCTCTCCTTGGCGTGAGGCGGTCCGTCGGTGGCGCGCGGCTCGAGCAGCAGTAGCAGAGACACGAGCGGACAGTCAGAGAGAAAGAGGTGCTGGGTCCGTGGATGGTACCGACACACAAGGACTTTCTGACCGGGATCTTCTGCAGCAGAGCCGGGTGAGTGCCGTGAGCAGAGCCACTCACACCGAAGAAGGGGAGGATTGAACGTGCGGGCTGCACGCGGGGAGCGGGGTTCCGCAGCACTGTGCGTTTGTTTGAATGTGTGCATGCAGAGAGGGGGGGACCTGATCATGTTTTATCTCATTCAAATCTGTTGAGTCGATCCGTGCTGCTGCTTCTGCGGCTCTGCACGTGCTGTGGCGGGACCACAACTGCACCAGACTCCGAGTCAGAACTGATCCGGGACAGCTCAGGGTCCGGCCGGACCGGGTCTGTGTGAGGCTGTATGCGTTACTGGTTGCGGTGTGTGTGTGTGGATGTGTGTGTGTGTGTGTGTGTCAGTGTGTGTGCGCTGAATGTAGATCCTCATTCTGCTCATTGACCCCTGTGGAAACAGCAGTGATTGTTTGATCGAATATTGATCGATTAACTTCAAATATTCTGCAGATAATTCATCAGAGCAGGCCTACAACACACACACACACAAACACACACGCGCGCACACACTCACACGCACACACAGCAGGGGGTTCAGCATATTCATCATCAGGACCTCTGCTGGATGTTTCTGAGCTTGACGGACAAGGACTGTCCACTGTCCCACAGGGAGAAACAAGAAAGTGTGTGTGTGTGTGTGTGCGTGTGCGCGTGTGTTTCTGCGTGCAAGCGAGGAAGGGGGGTGTCATTTTTCTGAAGGAGCTGTCAGGAAGGAGTCTGCAGCATCACCCTGTGTACCTGTTTACCACATACACACATCTGCCATTTGTGTGTGTGTGTGAGTGAGTGAGTGGGTTTGTGTGTGTGTGTGTGTGTGTCCTTCCTCCTCTCCTCTTCCTCAGGCAGGCAGCCAAACATGCACACAGCTGTTTGTCTTCCTCCACCTCCTTTGCCTCCTTCTTTAACCTGCAAGTGTCATCATACTGATGTGAGATCAGCTCTGTGAAGATGCTGGTGTTGATGGTGATGAAGAAAATCACGAGGAAGATGAAGACGGTGATGAAGATGGTAATGTTTGAAGTGTAGAATCTGCTTCCTGTTGAGGACCCTGCATATGATATGATGCAGACAGTTAACAATCACTTAGTGTTAAGTTAACATGTAGAGTCTGGTGCTCGTTTTTAGATCTGTGCGCAGGAGCTTTTCATATTCACTATGTGAGTGTGAATCATAATCACACATGCTATTGTTTAATGATGTTTGTGTGCTCAGCAATTAGAGGAGAGCATGTCTGTGACATCAGGGCGTCTGATCTGTGTTATCAAGCATCAGTGAAGCAGAATTATTTCAGTGAGCTACAGTGATTTAACTGTTGATGGAGTCCACTGATATCTGCCAGATGAATGAGCTTCCACCCATTGGAAGGTCCCATGCAGGTGTACCTGCTGCTGCTGGTTCTAACTGTTCTTTCTGTCATTAGTAGAGGAGCAGAACACCCTGTGGTTTTAGTTTCAGTTAGTGATTGTATGATTTGAGTGGGTTTTACTGCTGTGTGCAGCTGGTTGCCGCTGACATCACTCTGCACTATCTTGTGCAAGGCAGATATTGTGAAAGGCATCATCATTAACAAGCAGCAGATCACCTGCTGCGATAATGAAACATCCAGTGAAACATTTCGAGATGTGAGTTGTGTTAATTGGGTATCGGTACAAAATGTGCTGCTGATGGATATTGTTGAAACATCAGACAAACACAGAGGAGAGAGTTTGCGAGGCAAGCGGGACTGTGTGTATGAGGAGTGGAAAGCTCTCTGTTGGGTGTGTGGGGGATGCAGTATTAGAAAAATGAGCAAATTGATTTAAGGACATCAATATTTTTAAGACACCCTGGACTTAATAACCACTTTTCTTCATAGAAAATTATAAACAAAGATGTTTTAAATGTAGCTGAAACCTGTGGCTCTTCATCATGTTCATTAAAAGAGAAAAAATGTAGAAAATCCACAGAAACGGTGAGCATGCAGGTGGTTTAGATGAATATTTTTAGGCTTTCAGAATGAAGGTGTGCTGTCCATGACTCTATGAAGAGTCCACTTTTAAAGCTGCTGTAGGGAATTTTTAGTTTGTGTCCATTTTGGCGCCCTCTGTGGACAAAGTAATACTGATTATCCCTTGGTGTGTATGTGAAGGAAGGGTTTCCAGACAATAACCTCATACTTTGGTCCCAGCAATAAAACGTTGAGGATCAATGAAGTTCTTGTACTGTATTGCTTTAAAAAGTAAAAAAAAAGCTGTTTCTGATAATCACCCCCTCGCATTAGATTCAGGCATTAAAATTTATGGCAGAGATGTTAACAGCCTTGTTGTTGATAGTCTTGTTTGCCTCCGTGTTTCATTGACAGTTATTAGTATCAGTTTCAGTCTGTTTCTATTAAGTGAGTCTGTTAACAGGTTTCCATTGGTTATACATCCAGTTGATCTTTGCCTGGTTAGTACCTGTTGTTACTGCTCTTAGCTGAGTGGTCTGGTTGTGTAGGGAGGCTGTTAGTTCAATGCAAAGTGAAACCTGAGGAATAATAGTGCAGCTAAATTTGGCTCACAAATCAGTTGGAATTGGAGTGTATTCTTTTGATTCACTATACATTATTGTTGAAGCGGGCAATCAAACTGTCTAAGAACAGCATTTTCGTAATGGCCGTCAATTGAGTCACTGGTGTGTGGGATCTGTAGAAATTTGTGGCTTGTAGCTCAGCACTATGCTGCTTTAAAACTTGTGTCTAACCAGTGTACTGTTCAAATCAAGAGTGACAGCAGGCACGGCTCCAGATCTCTTTTGTGAAGACTCTTTGACTCTGTTTACAAGTATTTGCATAATGTCTTAAATTCAAGCAGAGCAGTGTCAAAAGAAGTATTCATAAGATGGTCAAGTGTAACTTTGTTCCAAGTGTTCAACCAATCTGTTGGTGTTTCTTGTCCAGAACAATTAATTCAAGAACTTTCACTGTCAAGACAAATTAAAAATGTTCTGCACAGACCTGATGCGCTGATGTCGTATGTGCGCATGGATGCCGTAAACACAGAGTGGTGGAGTGCACACAGCTGACCAGTATCACTTTCACGCTTTAGCTACTGTTGACAGGACACATGCCGCTGCAGCCGACCTCTGCTATGAGGAGCCAGCCTCTTTAGGGCATGTTCAACTAAGTAGTAGATCAAACTGGACAGTTGATACTTTTCATAATTTTCAGTACAGTAAGCTGGCTTTCATAGGCAATAATGGATCAGCGCACACACACTCTTTACAAGCAGTGATTACCCATCAGGCCACACTGTCTTGGAAGTAACCTTTGTTATTATATTAATAACCAAAAATATTACTTTAATAACAAGCAACTGGTTTTACTAGATCTCCCAGTTATAAGACATGTTAGGAGAACGCATCTACAGAGCTTAAACATGGATGTGTATGATGGTCATGTGACTAACAAGCCTGTGAAACGTTTGAATCTTTCAGTCAGTTTGACCCTCAATATGTCTGAGTGTTCAGAGTGTGTATGTGTGTGTGTGTGTTAACAGAGAGGAGCTGTACGCCCCCCCTCAAAACCCTCATCTCTGGGGTCCCGCGGGCTTTATGAGCGTCTGTTCGTGCCAAATGCCAGCACTCACCCCCCCAAGAGTGTGTGTGTGTGTGTATGTCAGAGTGTGAGTGAGAGTGAGAGAAGGAGAGTTGGGGGGTTCCTTTGGTCCCCCTCTTCATCAAGGCATGGGGGGAGGGGTCTGCCTGTTGTGTGCTGGTGCTTCATGCTCACAGAGTGCGTATGCCTGTGAGTGTGTGTGTGTGTGTGTGTGTGCGTGCGTGCGTGCACATGACTGCGCAAGTGAGTGTGTGCGCTATTGTTCAGTCTGTGCAGGAATGCTGGTGGATGCCTTGGTGTTCCCAGCAGTGTTGTCCATCTATGTTGGTCTCTGCTGCTGCTGAGAGCATGAGTGTGTGTTTCATGGGAGTGTGTGTATTGTGTGAGTAAGTGTCTTTGTCTCTCTGCAGCACACACACACGCACACACACACACACATTCAGACGCAGCAGTTTGCATCTGTAAAGTTAATCTTCAGCTCTGCAGCTTGAAGCTCTTTTCACATTGTGTGTCTGCAGCAGTGCTATAACAAAGCTTCACCCTCATCACGCCATATTGATGATGTGATGGGGTATTGTCTGTGTCACAGTATGTTCTTTCACATTGCGTTATGGTATGGACTAAAGCATCTTGCACCTTGAGTGCTTTCAGTGTGGGAAGTAATGAAAAACAGGAGTGCAACAGGCTAATATCTGCTTAAATTAAAGGCAGTTGGACTCAACAGAGATCTCTCAAGTTTATCAAAGACTTAAACACATGAAAAATCTTTTTTTTTTAACATTTATATGGACCTGAGAAGTACAAAAAGTAAAGCCTGCAATAAACTATATTAAGTTGAACATGAATAAAGGCCTAGTGGTTTTAGTGCATTTGGCTTCTATCAATCACTTACTAGACAACTACTTGCTACTTGATATTCAATGGACATGATTGATTTTAGAAACCTGATAGCCTAACTGTATCTCTCTCCAGCTGCGTGGGTCGATCAGTCAATGTTTTATTTTGCTCAAAGCCTAAAATTTTTAAAACCAGTCATTGGTATACAAACATTCACCCGCTTAAGTTTCTGTCTAAAATCCAATTCCCAGCCTACGGGTCTTAGACTCCAAAAATAAATATTCTGGTGGTCGGTTGCTTGCGAGATGGCGATGATCCTCCTCCTTCACACAGAGCAGCAGTGGTAGCTGCACACAAACTTTGTATTAAGTTCCAAATCTTGAAAAAAAAAGGTATCCCATGCTGAAATCCATGTTGACATTGGTACAGCAAAGGCTGGTTTGCTAACTTAATGAAATGGCACAGGGTTCCCTAACAATATGTTTAAGGTTGGGTTAGTAAAAAACTTTGAAGAAACCTGGTGAGAAACCTAAACAGCAGGGTTGTTTGGAGAAGATATTTTTTCCCTAACATATTAAAATAAATAGTACAAATGAAATCACTTATGAGCTAAAACATGTGTGACTAAAATTTCTGATACCAAGAGTATTCCAATAAGTAGATGTTCAAATCCAATAATCCACTAAAACACAAGTGCTGTTTTTCCACCAAACACTTTCCACTGAAACACTGTTTCAGCTGAGAATCTGAACGGCACTCTGAAAACATCATGATGTAAAAATGAGTGAAAAGACAGAGCCTGTTAGCCTTTGCTGAGCTCAGACTGAAGATAACCTACAAGGTTAACCTTGCATTGTTAGTATGGTGCTTTGGCCTGACTTAAAGGGGAGCCAGTTCCATGACACTGAATGCTTTGACTCATAAACTGACTTTAAAGCTTTGTAAAACATCCAGCAGCTCTTTATATATTTTTGTGTTTTTTCCACATTCAGGCTGAAACCAGATGCTGCCACTCAGTTATAAGTCTGTACATTGTCAGTGCAACATGCTCTCTGTCAGTCATAGGATGTAACGGCATTGACTCTGCCTACTGTGATGTCAGTGCAGAGTCTATGTTGTGGAAGCAAGATATGCAAACACAGTTCAAGCTTCACTTACACACTCTCACGCTCATAAATGCTCTTAGATATAAAGCGCTTTCACTATAGGAAACAACATATGTGAGTGGTAGAGTCACAGCAACCTGGACCATAGCAAAATAGTTGTTCTGTTTCTGGTTTACTGGTGGAGTCATTATTATAAAGATTGATCAAACAGACAGACACCTAAGGATAGTGGACCTGAACCCTGTAGGGCTGTAGATAAAGGACAATTGCAGTTCGCCCAATCCTACACTTGAGGCCCTCTCCAAAAGTGAAGTAATCCACATAAAGCCCTATGTTGAAATTGTCCAACAAACCTTGAGTGAAACCAGATTCACCGGAACAGAATTTTGCTGAAAGAAAAAGGAGAGAGAGAGTAGCACACAGTGAAGCCCCCTTTTTTTATTTAGTCAGTTAGAGACAGGACCACTCTCTTCTCCTTCAGAGTAAATGTCATGGATGTATAAAGGTGGGGCAGAGCCGGTGAGCTGTCATCAGCAGTAGGAACAGGAGAAACAGAGTCATTGTTAACGTTGAAGCCTCCAGGAACAGCTCTGTTAGTGTATGTAAAGCTTTTGCTACGTGTGTGTGTGTTAACACATTGTCCTTTTTGCTTCCACTGAAATGCACAGTAAAATGACTCACCAGGACAGTGACATTTCCCTTTTGTTGGGCTGCATGACACTGAAAATATAAACTTTTATTGTTATATTTTCTACAATTTATATTACTTTAGGGGTTAAAACCAGACAAATGCAGTATACATTACATGATACAGGATGGGGAGTTAAAGTGGACAGCAACACTGCTGCAGCACCATGTAAAAAGGTCTAGAAACAGAGTTCAGTGTGCCAAGTACCCATTCAGACTAAGGCCACAGCAGAACAACCATAACTTGATCTAAGCCTGAGCCGGCCCCACTGCCGTTGAGCTTCAGCAAAATTGAAGGTTTACTATTAAAAGCAGAGAGTGTGTCTGCCTCCTAGACCCTGACTGGTAGATGATTCCGAAGAAGCTGGGCCTGAAAACTAAAGACTCTGCCTCCCATACTACTTTTAGAGACGTATAGCACACGAACAAGCCACTTTCTGAGAGTGTAATGCTCTGGAGAGGTTTTCGATTCAAGCAGGTCAGAGTCTTAAAGCTAGTTCATCAGGGAAAATGTAACAACAGTAAAATTCAATGGTTCTCTTATATTTGATACACAACAAACACATCTCAGACCGCACTGTACCTCATCTTAGGGTTGTTTGCTGTGTTGCTACACTGACAGTGGCCTGGCTAACATCACCTCATTGTTGGTGGTGGGAAATCCTAAGTGTGTGAAATTCTCAAGAGGAACTTCGTTTATTTAATCTGAAGAGTTTAGTCTCATCTACAAACACAGTTCTTTTTATGTGACCCAGTTAGCAGATTGGTGGGTTTCTGTCTGAAAGTGTGTGTGTGTGTGTTTGCTGAGAATCAGACTGAACGTCCTGGAGGTGTTTCTCTGCAGACAGGAGGTAAACAGAACCTGGGTGAGGTAACCAGATATACGGAACAGTTTCTGCAAATGTCAAACATCAAGGTGTGTGTGTGTGTGTCTGTGTGTGTCAGGGGGTAATCAGGTTTAATCAGAGCTGCTTGCTGAGATTCAGGAGCCAAAAAACCAGCAGCAAAAACAGAGAGGAGAGCTTAAATTACATCCTGAACACAGAGCCTTCAGGCTGTCTGAGAAATGGGCCTCATTTCATCACACACGTACAAACACACAGCTGTTCATATCCTCTCTCAGTTAGCAGAGTAGGTTTTTGTAAAGTGAGGAACATGTCAGTGTAAAAAAAGTGAAAAGCTCCAGGTAAAGTTTTCATCAATGAATATTACAGAGGTATGGTGTTCAGATATTCACTCATTTATCATAAATTCCACAGGTAATCATGCCGGAGACTATTTTTCATCCCTGCTACTGCAGTAATACTTTCTGAAACACTTTTCTTGAAATCATATTTATTTCATATCCACTACGAACAGCCTGAAATGTTGTGAGTAGTTTTAAGTCTTTCATTTGACTCTGTGTGACTCAGTATGAACCTTTAAAAAGTTCCTGGTTTCTTAGTGTTTCATCAGGACAATCTGCAGAGACTGTCATGGTTTCTTATTTCTGCTCTCCTAACAGGATGAATAAATGAACACATCAAGTACAGTTTGTTCTCACAAGCTCACTGCAGCGATAAGAGAAAATTTTAGTCCACTGTGCTGATTTTAGGGGTGTCCCGATACATTTTTTTTACTTCTAATACAATACCGATACGATATGATGCTGTAGCCTTCAGTATCGGCTGATACCAATATTGATCTGATATGAGCACAAACTTGTGCATGACAAGTTGTGCACTCAGCTGCGACTTCTTTTTCTGACTTAAATACTGCTACACAGCCGACATCACTCCTACTCCTTGCTACTTTGTTA